GAACAGGCTTGCTGGCATGTTATTTTTTTAACTAATGATGATACCTTTCTTTCTAACCCTTTATCCAAACTGTTCTGCATATTCACAGATTGTTGTGCTATGGATCCAGTGATGAAGCCTGATTTGTGTTTATACCATTCCTTCGATTTCCATTGTTTCACTGTTGACTTACTGACAGTGTCTATTTCCTCCTGGGTGTGAGTCAAGTCAGCAAGAATGTCTACAGAAGATTCATTGAGAAAGTTACCACCAGCTCTTTTGTCACATACATGTCACAACTTCTGCTCCATGATACCATACATTTCTTCCGATTTAATCGGGGGGTTTTCAGACTTTAGACTATTTATTGAAGTGTTACCACTAGGTGATTTTTGAGATTGGCTGTACAGCTTGGTGAGTAGGGGTAAAATGGTTGGTCTCATACCAGTTTTCTCCAACGATTGTGTGAACGTTTGTATGGCATCATTTGTTGGTAAATCTCGGTCATTTTCATGCCTGACATCAACATCGATGTGTTCGCAGTAGACGTGTTCATTCTTATGTTTTTTTAGCGGCTGCTCGCATTTTCCAATTTCCAGGTCCTTAACATCACATGGTCTGCTGTCTGTTGTGGGTTTCTTTGTCCATATACATGGTACGTTGGTTGGACTGTCGTTGTCACGCGTGTTCAATAAGTCTTCCAACGAATACATGAGAGCAGCAATGTGCTTGCAGCCTCCGTCACGGCCACCTTTACATCGACATCTCGCTTTCAACACACTGCCTCGATTAGCCCCTTTGCCTTCTAGCATAAACCAACAATCGTAAAATAACTTTCCCTCATCTGTCTTCTCTTTCATGGCGGGTTTCACCTTACCCATGTACAGATGAACTCCTTCTTTTGACATTGTCTCCGTTAGAAGTGATTCAACATATCCATCTTGGAACAACCGATATTCATCAAAGGCTTTGTAAGCTGCTAAACCTTGTTTATCATAATCGCATGAATGAAAGATCAAATAGTTAAAAATATCATACAATCCAAACGGGGGTGAATCGACAAAGTTATTCACGAGATTATGCGATGCAGAAAACGGATCACTGATTTCCATATCATGAATAATAAAATTATGTATGTCTTGATTGTTATTTCCCTTTTCAAATTCAATAACAACGGGAAGCATCATTTTTGCAACCGCGTTGGCAATTTCGATCAAAGCTGGTTTTAAGTAGCCATTCACACTTACGCCGCGTTCGCGAAGATAGGTTTTAAGATCGTTCACGGACATGTTTTCGAACATCTTTGAGCCTGAACTACTGTACGACATGTCTGCAGCTAAATTCAACCTTTTAAACTTTATCCCATCGCTTTTCCAACTTTTAATATCATTTAAATAACGCGATAAGTCACTCTCGCTATACTAAATTGTATTCTTGTTCGAGTTTGTTTGTCCGATTTCCGGTTATTTGACGCACGTGGAATGACACGTGTTGTAGAGAGTCGGAAAGGTGGATTTATTATTTACTGTCGAAGGCTCGAAGTGAGCTAATCCCAACCGGAAATACGACGAAAAAACGCCAAAACAATGCGACGTTTGTATCGTATGACCCTGCAAAGGCTATTAGTAAAACACGGAGCACGGAGCACACGGAGCACGGAGCACACGGAGCACGGAGCACACGGAGTACGGAGCACACGGAGCACGGAGCACACGAAGTACGGAGCAGTAGAAAAACGAAAATCCTTTATAATAAAATACACTGTTTACTATTACAATTTTTTGTTATTATTAACAAAGTTTTTTTCGCGTATTACACGTTGAGGAAGTAGGAAAATGGGGCTTTTACTGAAAAACACATATGATGCAAAACCAGGCTGCCAAAAGCCATAGTATTTAAAATGGAATTGTGAAACTCGTTATCTTACATCTATCAAGCTTATGACAATGTAGTTATATTATATTCCGATGGGCAACAGATAAAGAAACACTTACTGTAGAGAACAGTTGATATATTTCGTTACCCCTGCCAGAAAATAGCCAAGTATACTCATCTTTCAATGTAGCGGATCGACTGAACATTAAATCTTTTGATGAGAAAAGTAAATTTTCGGTTTATCCTTCGGCTCAGTGACCGGTGGCAGTGAGCTGTACGGCCGGCTAAGTTTAAACCGTTAGGCGTTATACAGTACATCATTACTGCTTTCGTTCTTTCAATTCATTTTGAATATTCGGAATCATTCACAATATTATAAAACTGTATAAGATAACTGTAGAACTATAAATGCTGTAGAATGAAATAAATAAAGAAAAGTAAGTTTTCAAATCGCGGTATTTGCCGATAAATCGGTAATCGCTACAGAAAAACAGAACAACTTACAGTATTAAAATCACAACAAACCGCGGAAGTGGGACAATTTTTGTATTTTTACTGTAAGACATGTAGAACATGTACGAAATCCATACAGAAGTGTGTGTGTATTCTATACTTTTGAAACAACTAAATCAGACTTCGGAAAATTTGACCGTATTAAAGCTGCTTTTGGGAATTTAGATTTTAGGTCTTCGTTTTACATGTACCCAGACCAGTAAATATTTTTGAGTTTTGAATTTTGTGTATAAATCAACACCAACGCCTCAAAGGCGAAAAAGAGGGCAAGATTGTTAGAATTGCTATTGTAAACATGAGCAGTTTCGAGCATAAACATAAAATTGAAACGAGTAATTTTTACACATCTGATTCACTAAATTCAGGAAGCCATTTAAGTGTACGCGTATTTGTTACAATTCCGATCAACTCTGCCGTGCAGCACGGCAGAGCCAGAGGCAGAGTAAATTGTAAACAAATTGTAAGCTTGTGAGAATCAAAGTTCAAAACTCAAAAATATTTACTGGGTACATGTAAAACAAAGACCTAAAATCTAAATTCTCAAAAGTAGCTTTAATACTGTCAAATTTTGATTTCGTTGTTTCAAAAGTATAGAATACACACACACTTCTGTTTGGATTTCGTACATGTTCTGCATGTCTTACAGTAAAAATACAAAAATTGTCCCACTTCCGCGGTTTGTTGTGATTTACTGTAATTTGTTCTGTTTTTCTGTAGCGGTTACCGATTTATCGGCAAATACCGCGATAAGCGTAGTTTTCTTTATTTATTTTATTCTACAGCATTTATAGTTCTACAGCTATCTTATACAGTTTTATGATATAATAGTGAATGATTCCGAATATTCAAAACGGATTGAAAGAATGAAAGCAGTAATTATGTATAACGGTTTAAACCGGCGTAGGCCGTACAGCACACTGCTCACTGGTCACTGGGACGAAGGATAAACCGAAAATTCACTTCTCTCCATGACAAGCTTTTAT